AGAGAGAGAGAGAGAGAGAGAGAGAGAGAGAGAGAGAGAGAGAGAGAGAGAGAGAGACAGAGAGACAGAGAGAGAGACAGAGAGAGAAGAGAGAATATACACTGCTTTTAAAAGAAATGAAAAAAAATTTAGAGTCTCAGCTTTTGTTTTTACCTACCCTCAAGATGTCTCTATGGAAACACACACACACACACACACACACACAAACACACACAAAAAACAAAACAAAACCTTATATTTTATGGCCAGGTGATTACCAGCCTAGAATTCAATGTCCTATTGCATTACCACGGGCCCTCTGTGATGTCAGAAATACCTTGGACCATTTTCCCACAACCCTATTAGTTATAGCGGAATTTATGTAATTATTTCTTTTACTGAGGAGGGAGTCTAGAGTGGAAGTATTTAGTCCTGGGGCTTCCTTTTAATTTTTATTGACAGTGTGCTGTTTAAAATATTCTTACTTAAAAAAATTTTTTTTTTTTTTTACGAATTTTGGGACACACACTAAAGAGGAAAAAAATGAAATCAAATAATTCAACAGCTGCTTTTGAATTTACATAATTAATTTTCCTTCTCTCCCTTCTATCCGTGTCAAACATACTTTCTTATTATAAAACACATTACAATTCCTTTCCCCCACAGACTGCTCATTCACTGCAGCCAAGAGAGGGAAAAAACTGAGTATACAGTGAATAAATCAAACATCTTAACCAAGTGGCCAAAATGAATGTCGGTTCCAGTCAGTCTGTGCTGGCCTTTCTGTGCCTCCAGATGAGAAAGCTCCCAATAAAAAGACCAGTCTGTAGTCCGGAAGAGGGCAGTAACGACAAAGCAGCAGATGCGGAGACAGTGACGAGGAAGATGGACAGGTATGAAACAATGTCACTGGAGGGAGGTGTGGTTCAGCGGGAGGGCAGCGCACCCGCAGCCTGAGCTAGACCCTGGGGGTGTGGTTCATCGGGAGAGCAGTACACCCGCAGCCTGGGCTAGACCCTGGGGGTGTGGTTCATCGGGAAAGCAGCGCACCTGCAGCCTGGGCTAGACCCTGGGGGTGGGGTTCATCGGGAGAGCAGTGTACCCACAGCCTGGGCTAGACCCTGGGGGTGGGGTTCATCGGGAGAGCAGCGCACCTGCAGCCTGAGCTAGACCCTGGGGGTGTGGTTCAGCTGAAGAGCAGCCCACCCGCAGCCTGGGCTAGACCCTGGGGGTGTGGTTCATCGGGAGAGCAGTACACCCGCAGCCTGGGCTAGACCCTGGGGGTGGGGTTCAGCAAAAGAGCAGCCCACCCGCAGCCTGGGCTAGACCCTGGGGGTGGGGTTCATCGGGAGAGCAGCGCACCCACAGCCTGGGCTAGACCCTGGAGGTATGGTTCATCGGGAGAACAGTGCACCGCAGCCTGGGCTAGACCCTGGAGCCCACGCCGAGCACTGGGGAAAGGAAACAGTCGCAATGTGAGCGGCAAAGGAAATGTTCTAGGCTGGAAGGAGATGAAAATACGAGAGCTAAGCGTAAGGGAGCCCTAGGGCGGACCCGGGTTTAGGAGGCTGAAGGAAATTCTCTCCAGGGCTTAGCGGAGCCAACTGAGAGGACCGGAACACCCAAGCTAGAGTAAAGCACGTGAGCATTTAACTCGATGGATCATTAATTACAGAGTGATGACGGCACCTGAGAGCACTTTATGCTTAAGTACTGAAGTGCTTCAGGGTAAAGGGCAGGCATGAGGATGTGTGATGTAAAACCTTCAAAAAACAAACAAACAAAACAAAACTGAAGGAAGGGCTATGGATGTAGCCCAGTTGCTGGCCTGCTTGTCTAGCATTCATTCATGAAGCCCTGAGATTGATTCCCCTGCACTCATAACCCGGCACAGGGTCAACCACCTGCAATCCCAGCACTCTAGTAGAGGCAGGGAGATTCAGGGTCACCCTCAGCTGTACAGTGAGTTTGAGGCCAGCCTGGGCTACATGAGAAACAAAGCACAAAGAGGGGTGTCTGTGTAAGGGGAGGGGGCGGTCGTAGAAAAACAATCTTGCCTACATTTGGATCACTGGCTCTGTTCTCTGTATTTGAAATGCGTAACACAGGAAGAAAAGTGCAGATATCTTGACATGACCTCTCATCAGTGACAGACGGAAGCAGCCTGTGAAGGCTTGACATACCACCCACTCTCAAAATTTGCTACCAAACCCCAGCAAACACTGGGTCCTGGAACCATTTCTCCCTAATTTCTCTTAACAGGGTGGTGGCTCTACAGCCTGTCTGTGTCCGGCGCCTTCCTATCTCAAGCACAAAGAACAACTCTTGGTCTCTTCCGCCGGCACAACCAGTATGGTTCCGTTGGATGTGAGCTTTTGAGCTGGACTCTTTTAACATTTTAAGGTATGGAGAGAACAGCACTCTAGACTGTTTCACTGAATATGTATCTGCAGTTCCTCAGCACCACGTGGACATCGTGTTTGAATTCTGCAGATTTGGTGGCTATGACATCACATCCACAGTAACCTGCCCCAGCAGGGGCAGTGCTGGTCCCTAATCTACAACAATCGATCTACAGCGACTTTCCCAAAGGAAACTATGCCTGTGTCCAAAAGCTCTGTCAGTGACTGGGAAGAGAATATAAAAGGTGGTAAAGGGAAATTAAACCGTTCAGCCCTGCTTAGGAATCAGTAAATGTCACTTAGCCATCTGCTAAAACCGAAAAGGGAAAACACGCTCCCTGCTTTATTTTCTGGTGTTATCTCTCTGCTTCCTAAGCAGTGTTCGTCTCTGGGATAGAATGCCCACACACTATTTCTGGCTCTATGCTTTTACCTCAGTCTTTTTATTCATTTCTCCCTAAATTCAAGCTAATCGCTTTATCAAAAGTTCACCATGAGCCCACAGCCAGAATGACCCGGTGGTACTCTACAGAGGAGAGATCCCAGGTTGCTCTGCCTACAGATTATACCCAGAAGATGATATGAAGTCAATAAACGTAATGACGATGTCTGCTTGCAAGAAAGCACGGGAGCCAGAAGTGAATTATGACCAACCGCAAAGAGGAACACACTAGTCAAGGCACTAAAATTTAATGAGAAGACAATTTTTAAAGTAGATAAAAAACCGAAGAGAAGGTGCACAGACCATTATTGTAAATTTAAAATCGTGCGTATTCTTCGCCCATAAAACTTCTGAAATGCCGTTAAAAACACACACGCACAAAACCACGCAATTATAAATCCTCTGAAGCATGTAACTGTGATTAGCGGCTCCCCCCCGGCAATATAAAAATACTACCGCCACAATCACATTCCAGCCGGTAATGTAATTCAAAACAAACAAGTCGGAGACAGCGCTCAAATGGCAGAGTCCACAAACACAGCCGCTTTGCATCAAGGACTTGAATGCGCCTAAGAAACTCCACTGTGGCGGCGCTGGCGCTGGCGCTGGCGCTGGCCCTGCGGTGGAACGGCGACGCCCCCTGTTGGGCAGAGACGCGCACTGCGCCCAGGGAGGCTCAGAAAAGCCCTATCTGGCTGGCATCCGTGCCCCTTCGGGGAGATGTTGTTGTGAGGTCAAATTTTTAGCTACTGAATTTAAATTTTATCAGCTGTGTTTGATTGAGTGGATCGTTTTATTCAATCCCGTAGCCGCCATTCCTGCATTCTTAGTCCAAGGATCGACTGGCTGTAATTTTGGGGGGGTGTTTTCTTACGCAGCTCAGGCTGGCCTTGAATTCATGGTCCTCTTGCTCTGACCTCCCCAGTGCTGGAGTTACAGTGTGCACCATTACGCCCCGCGGCACCTATCATTCTCCAGCAAGCCATATAAGTTTTCAATGATCTCTCGTGAGAATACAAGGTCTTTGTTTTGAGAGCATAACGTCTTCATTCTGTTCCAGGGAAGTTATGGACGTTAACAGAATAGTTGCTCTATTATAAGGAACGACTTCACTTTCAATTTTATCTTTTAAAAATGTTTTAATTGTGTGTGTGTGTGTGTGTGTGTGTGTGTGTGTGTGTGTGTGTGTGTGTGTGTATTGTGGAGATGTGTGCACAGGGAAGTGTAGGTGCCCATGGAGTCCAGAAGAGGGTACTGGAACCCCTGGTACTAGAATTACAGGAGGTTGTGAGTTGTCCACTGTAGGTACTGGGAACTGAACATGTACCCTCTGATTGAGCAGTATATATTCTTAGCCCCTGAGCCATCTCTCTAGCACCCATTATTTAAGACGACTCCTCTTCAAAGAAGGCATAAATAAAATTTTATTGTACCAATATGCTATGATTTAAAAATGACCCTTAAGCACTTACTTTAAAAAGCATCCATTTTCTCTGAGTACTTTAAAAAAGAATGTTTTCGGGTTGGAGAGATATCTGACAGTATATAGTGGCAAAAGGACCTGAGTTCAATCTCTAAAACTCACGTTTAAAAGAAAGAAGGGAGGGAGGGAGAGAGAGCGTGGTGGGTGGTGCCCGCCTGTAATTCCTGCACTAGAGGACACTGGTGGAACCCCGGGGCATTCCTGGCCAGCCTGCCTAGCTGAACGGTAAATTTCAGGCCAATAAGAAACTTAGCCTTAAAAATAAACAAACACAAACATCAGGAAGAGGAGGGGACTATATCTAGGAGAGGGACCTGAGATTGTCCTTTGCCTCCACACCACACATGAGTCCCCAACATGCACCGTCATAGACATAAAGTCATATTACAAATTAGCACGAGCCCAGGCGGAGTCCTGTGCGGGACTGGGTCTGAACGCACTCAGTAGAAGCCCAAGGCTTTCTTTCCTTCTTCTACTTCCTGTTGGGGTCTTAATCAATCTTCCAAAGACTTGTCTTTCTTTCTTTTTTTTTTTTGCTTGCATGTGTACACATGTGTGGTGTTAATGTGTGATGTATGTATTTGTATCTTGTGTGTGCACTCGTGTCTGGGGGGGGGGATGCATGTGTGAGGTCTAAGGTTGAACCCTGGGGGTCCCCCTAGATCACTCTTCACTTTACTCTTGGAGGCAGTATCTTTCCCTTGAACACAGACCCCACCAATGAGGGCTAACCTAACTAGTTAGCCTGCTTTGGGATCTCGGAAGCCCAACTCGGCCTTCTAAGCGCTGGAATTACAGGCAGGCCCCCCAGCCCAGGTGGCATTGATGGGTGCTGGGGATGGAGGCCTCTTGCTTGTAATAGCAAGCACTTTATCACTTAGCCATCTCCCCAGGCCACAAAGATGTTCCCTAAGACATTGGGGCTAAAGCTGTGGCTGAAGGTCGGGCACTAGCTTGCTGATCTCTGTGACCTCAAACCTTAATTCTTCCCATTGCCGAAACACTCTCAGCTTGGGAAGAGCTAAACGCTGTTTACATCTGTCAGGCTTTAGAAAGGGCTCACTTGGTCCCTTAACAGAGCAAATGACATGACAAAAGACACCATTTTCCCACACAGTAACAACGACATATAAACATGACCAGCAATGCCAACGGCTCTCAGTCGGGAGTTCTGTCCAGGTCTCCAAAGGGCACCGGTCTTTCATCAGAACATCAGGATTTTTGACAGTCCTTTTTCCGTACTTTGGATTTGGGTGCTGGAAAGAAAAAAAGAAAAAAGGCAGAGAAGCAGAAAATGAATAATGCCAAACTTTGCTCACGCCGAGTTGTTTTAAGGTGGGACACTGCGCTCCAGAAGAAAACTGACCATTTGGGTTTTCTTGTTTGTAGAAGGTCTTTAGGAGCTCCACGGCTTCTTCAGCACGATATCCGGGGATGCACTGAGGGAGGGAGGGACATGAGGTGAGCATCGGCAGGGACCGTGTGGGGGTTATACCCCAACAGCAATGTATACACAATTACAACGATATGAACCGGCTGCACACAACGTTCATTACTCGGGACAAATATTAGCGTGGTTAAAAAATGTACATTTCCAAAAGAATGGGCTCCCAGCCTTAGCCCACCGTCTCTCCCAATCAGTCACTCTTGTTGGTACTTAAACTCTCCATGGTACGTAACAGGACCACAAAAGGACGCTGTACTGATTAAAGATGCTAAAGATTCATGAGATGCTAAAGCAGGTATTCATGAAGCATGAGCTTTTTTTTTTCTTTTTTTTTTTTTGAGATAGGGTTTCTCTGTATAGTTTTGGTACCTGTCCTGGATCTCACTCTGTAGACCAGGCTGGCCTCGAACTCACAGAGATCTGCCTGGTTCTGCCTCCTGAGTGCTGGGATTAAAGGCGTGCGCCACCACCGCCCGGCCAGCATGAGCTATTTTGACCTGCTATTACTTCCTAGTGTTTCATCAAGCATGGGATGCTGCTATTCACCTAAAGCAGGTAAACTATCCTTGGCAGAACAAATCCAGTCCACAGCTAAGAATGACAAGCTGACAATCGTTTTTATACTTTTAGGAGTTTTTTATTATTATTATTATTATTATTATTATTATTATTATTATTAAAGAAAACACTATGTGACTGTCACTATGTGACTATGTTTCTCACAAGAGCTAAAAATATTTACTATCCGGTCCTCTACAGGAAACATTTTTTCAAGTTTTTTTTAACGGAGGATTTAAGAAAACAGTTGAGTTTGTTTTTACTTTGGGACCTGGGCAGGAGAGATGAAAATATGTGAAAGAACAAATAAGAAGTGAGAACTGTCAGGAAGAATGAGTGAAATACAGGATAAAGATGAAACTGAACATGGACAGAAGCAAGGAAGAGCACTTTTCGGAGAGTGGGGGGGAAGTGTGGGTTATGTGTGTGTGTGTGTGTGTGTGTGTGTGTGTGTGTGTGTGTGTGTGTGTGTGTGTGTAAGCAGGCTGAAGGGCTGGGTAGGGAGGGGGAAGAAATTAAAAACATACGAGACGGGGCCAAACGCTCGGCTGGAGGGCAGCCTCTCTGGGGCTCTGCTGAGAACGATCGTCCCTTCCCCGAGTACTGCCTCAGAACATTCCAGACTTCACTTTCCGCCTCATTTCCCCCTCTCATCCTCACAGTCTTGGGCTCTCAAGACTTCACCGCAGCTGCCTCTCAGGCATCGCACAGCACTCACGATGGAAACGTGGTCTCCTTCCCTGCACAGCTCTGTGGTCACGTCACGACTGGACACACACACACGCACGCACGCACGCACGCACGCACGCACGCACGCACGCACGCACACACGCACGCACGCACGCGTGCTTCATTTCGAATCCTCTCCTCCCTTGGTTTCTCAGCCCACCATCCTAACCGCTGTCGGTCAGGGTGTGCAGGGACTGGAGCCTTCCAGCACCTCTACCTGCACTCTGTCAATGTCCATCTGAAGCCACCAGACCCTCTTCTCCAGGGGCTGGCAAAGCAGCGCTTCTCCATCCCTGCTGTTCAGGGTAATCACATGGGCAACCTCCACAAGCACAGAGGCTCGCCCCTACCTTTTTATTGGTCCGACCCAGGGTCTGAGAACAGAGAAACGCAAAAGCCCTCCAGGAGATTCTAGCATGTGGTCCAAGGAGAGACATGGAGAAACACGGAGGTGGGGAAAAAAAATAATAAAAACTATGTATGGGTCTAGACATCACGATGGCATTCTAAAGTACCAACTAGAGCTACACATGTATAGCTTTTAACAAAAATATTCTTACAAGAATAAATGTTTTAAACAGAAGCGATATTAAAAATGAATAACCATTTTTTAAAAACAGTAGATCCACAGGTTTCTCTGAATTTTATATTACTTATAACACAGTATTATATAAGAAGAACCTATAATTCTGATGTGAGACCCCCTCCTCCCTTTGTCCATTGTCCCATTGAGCCCAGCCAAAGAAAAGGAAGAAAACACAGCATCCAGAAGCCTGAATACCAAGGCGTTAGCACTTCAAAAGACTTCCTTAGAGCATCATTTGGCATTAAACCTCGATCTATGCTTTTAAACCACAGGCATCCATTTTCCATTGAGCCAACATGGCCGTATAGATGAACTGTAAATTAACCTTTCAGGTTGAGAAAGAACCGTTCAAGACTTCATGACATCGACATTCTTTTTGTGTGTGTGTGTGTGTGTGTGTGTGTGTGTGTGTGTGTGTGTGTGTGTGTGTGATGTGCATATGTACGTGTACAGGCTAGCAGGCAAGTGGAACCCTGGAACCCAGAATGGAAGTTCAAGTGTCTGCCCTCACATTCCACCTTGCTGAGACAGAGTTCTTGTTTGACACGAAGTGCAGCAGGCTAGCAGGCCAGGACTCTCCTTGTGTCTGTATCCCATCTCACCACAGGACCCCTGGATTCCATTCCAGATACCCGCTTCTGCATCTGGCCCTTCAGGGGGACCTGGGGACCCAAACTCGGGTCCTCACGCTGCTTGGCAAACATGTTCCCCACTGACCGAGCTGCCTCCTCACCTACATCTTAGAGATGTAAAGTTCCACGCATCTCCGACCCCCAGGGACACATCGTAGTTTTGTCCAGAAACTCTGAGAAATTACTTAGGTTGTTCTCATAAAGGAAGTACCGTACGCACAGAGCCAGCAATTCGTGTGCAGAGAGTTATATAAGCAATGTTTGGGCGGCTCCTGGAAATGACTGGAAAAATGAAGTCACTTTGCAGACATCTTTAATAATCAACCTCATTTGCTCCCATCGCTCTGTTGAAGTTTCTTTCTGATGTGATGTGAAAGACATCTGTTCTTAAATACAACAGTGGCTAGGAGAGTTTAGACTCAGCTGGGAAATTCAAGGCAGAATGCTTTCCAAAACTTGCTCTGTGCAGGATTAGGGCTCTGTAAGTCCTCACCACAGCCTACAAACATGTGAGGTTTACAAGGGAAACTCCAGCATTTATTGATTCTTTTTTCGAGTATAATGCCTTCGGATTAATCCTCCATCTTGGAGAATGAATTGGTATAGAAAAATGGGTATGCATCCCGACATATAGATTCCTAATGTTTACAGTTTCAACAGAACTTCCAAGAGTGTGACAGAAGTTCAGAGGCAAGTGGAATCTCTAGCAGCTGAAGGACATGCAGGTTCTCTGGTCTAGGGGAAGTCTCAACATTAAGAGGCATCTAAAATAATGAAGTTGCAATGGCAACCAGATACTATTAATGGGATAGATAGAATTTGTGCCTAAATACTGTTGGCTGTGAATAGCATCCCAGTCGCCGAGGCAGGCAAGTTCCATCATCACACGACAGAGCTGGCATTTGCTCCAACAGAAAGACAGTCTCTAAGCCCACACAAGGTGCCAGTGAACCCTGTTAGAAGCTAACAGTTCAGAGAAGTTGCAGGCTCCCCTGCAGGACAGATTCTGGAAATGAGGAGAAGGAATACACATTTTCCTTCAGTAAGGGGTAAAGAACTCAACCCAGGGGGGCCCCCGAGATACTGTCGGATTCTGTCATGGGTTTTGAGAACACTGACCACAGACAATGGGCAAGTCCACCAAGAGATGGATAAACAGAAGGGGAGTGGAGATAGGAACAGAGAGAGGGATGGAGGGGGGAAAGGGAGAGAGGGAAGGAAGGAGGGAGGAAGGGAGGAAGAGAGGGAGGAGAGGGAGGGAGGGAGGGAGGGTATAAGCAGATTATATTACCTGAAATGGTCTCCCGGTATTGGGTAGGTCAGCAGAGGCAATGTTTAGGACGGAACCACAACCACCAAACCGTTCATTCTGGCAGCCATAGACGACCAGTGGGATTTATAGTATAGAATTAAAGTCTGTCACGGGGTGTGTAGAATCATGGCAAGAGGAGGCTGATGCCAACTACCTTAGAGAGCTCAGTCTAGACTTCAAAACATAGTTCACGGAAGATAATACCATTCAATTATACAAATGAAGAGAAAGAGGTTTTAAGTATTTAGAGATCAAAATCTAGCAATCATGTGGGTCATCAGCAAGATGGCCCGGCTGGTAAAAGCCATCGCCGGGCAAGCATGACAAGCTAAGCCTGATCCCTGGAACCCGTGTAATGGTGGAAGGAGAGAACCAGCCCCTCAAATGGTTCTCTGACCTTCACATGTATGCCATGGCATGTGCTTGCCCACATAATAATAACCTATAAATTTTTTTAAAAGATGAAAACCTGGCTATTGTAAACAGAACAGAGATTGGGTATTTTTACTCAATATTCACTTCAGTCAATTCTCTGCTCTTTCCAAAATCACTTTTCCGGAATCACTGCAGAGTTAGAAATTTAGTTCAACAATTTCACCTCTTAAAAAATATGTTCCATCCCTGGAACCTACTGTAGAAGAAGAGAATGGACTTCTGAAAGTTGTCCTCCAATTACTACACAGTTGCCATGGCATGTCCATGCCCCTCACAATAAATAAATAAACTTAATTAAAATGTAAAAATGTGGGTGGTGGCCTGGCGTGGTGGCATGTGCCCATAGTCCAAGCTTTTCGAGGGTGGAGAATCAAGATCTTAAGGCCAACCATACTGTGAGCACCATGCCAGCCTGGGCTACATGAGAGCCAGTAAAAAAAAAAAAAAGGTAAGAAACCAAACCAAAATAATCACCCAAACAAAAGCCAAACACCCAGCCACGCTGTTCCCTGTTCTCTCTGCAAGGCAGGGTGAGGAAAACGGCTTAATAACTCCTCAAATAACGATGTCAAGAACTCCGCTTCCAAGGAGATAGCATGCTTTATTGTACCCAAAAGGCCCTCTACATTAAGTGCTAAAGCTGCACATTATTTTGAAAGCAAGTGAAAATGTAAGAATGAAGAAGTGCTTGCCTGGCATCCACAAGGCTCTCAGTGCTGTACAATAAATAAACTTTAGAGACTGACTGCACCCAACATATATGTTGCTCACTCTACGCAAGACACAATCCAACTACAGAACACTAACTTACTAATTCCCATGCATGTACAATGATAATATCTGGTGACATTTTCACTTCTTCGTTACCTTGAACTTCATTTTTTTTTTGTACTTTGTGATGGGTATTCATGACAAAAACAGATTAAGAGAAAATACTTAAATTACCCATAATCTGCCATCCAAGGGCAAAGCATATTCCTCAGAATGTGTCTTATGCTCTAACTTAATTTGGACTCATCCTTACACAAGAGTTTAAGTTAGTTCCAAGTTTTTTCTTCTGTAGCTTATGGGTTCAATAGTTTCGTGGCTATTGATACAGAGAAAGAATAGGTAACTTTACTATGTAAAAGATTCATCTTTCCTGCTTCTTTCTAAATTTTACAATGTGTTTCATAACTGTCTCCACACATGAAGAAACCGAAAGCTGGGGAGGGGTATAGCTCCATGATAAGAGCATACACTTGGCATGTGTAAAAGCCTGGCTTCAATCCCTCAACATCGAAAAGAAAACCAAACGGTAAAAAGAGAAGAAAACGAGTTAAGTATCTGGCCATTGTCTTGCTCGCAGGCAAGGTGCAGACAGGAAACCCAGAAGCCAAAGGATACTCATGAGGCGGAGGGCAGCGGCACACATGATACACGGCTCCACGGTGACGTACAGCACGGTGTGTTCAAACACTTCGGCAGGACTGTGGCTGTGTTGATGGCACCAGTCTAGGACCTGATCAATGGCCACCATTTCGGCATGCCGAGTAGCCTTGAAAGAGAGAGATGTGCATTGATACCGTTCATTTCACACAGCTGACGTCTTTAAAATATGCAAAACATTCAAATTCAAAAAGCATTCCTCTCATGGCTGCCTGCATTGGAGCATTAGGCTTCAGGATGCCCTTGGTAGTTTCCCAGTTCAAATACCATAACCTCATCAATGGGGAAGCCTAATCTAAGATATTATATAAACTTTACTATGGTTTTAGTGAAATTCACATGTACCTTGGGGGAAAGTTCTCATTAAAATATTTTAGAGAAAATAAGTCTAAAAAAAGAGATGTCTATGGGTTCTGAATATTTTCAGGGAGGGCTGGAATTTCACAAGCTTGTACTCTAGTTTCAGATAGATTTTCAACTGACTTCACTCTAAGGCAGATCTTCATTGAACCCACTAGAATATCATCCTGTGCACTGCAGGAGATGAGATTTTATAACCAATCAACTCTAAAGCAGCATAGACTTAAGATTTCAGATAGTTCATGGGAGAGAGCAGGAGAAATCACCCAGCATGTGGAATCGATCACACTGGAATCTGAATCCTGACAGTGAGGCACCGTTGGTCTCAAGCAAGCTTTGGATCCCGCGTCCAAACTGGAGTTTACTGTTACCTCCTCTCCAGTTCCCAGAGCAACCTGAGTCTCACCAAGCACAGTGTGGTATGATGCTATTTAGGTACCTGTCATCTCCTTTCCCCTTATTGAAATAGCATTGGTGCAGGGGTAAAAAGACAGCTCAAAGATTAAGAGCACTTGCTGCTCTTGCAGAAGTTCAGTTTCTAGCACCCACACCGGGTGGATCACAACTGCCTGTAACTCCAGTGAACTTCAACACCCTTTTCCTGCCTCTGAAGGCACCTGTGCACATATACATACACTCAGGTGCACTCATGCATGCACACACACACACACACACACACACACACACACACACACACACACTGTTTTGTACCAGTTTCCTCTGAGATAAAGCTTGTACTTTAAATATAGTTCCTTAAGACACAGGATGCTCTAGGACAGTGGTTCTCAACCTTCCTAATGCTGTGAGTGACCCTTTAATATGTTTTCTCATGTTGTGGTGACCCCCACCCATAAAATTATTTTTTTCCTACTTCATAACTGTAATTTTGCTACTGTTATAAATCATAATGTAAATACCTGTGTTTTCTAATGATCTTAGGTAACCCCTGTGAATGGGTCATTTGACCCCCTCAAAGGGGTTGTGACTCATAAGTTCAAAACCACTGTTCTATGGGGAGGTAAAACATTCCATCCTGCAGGGAGTCTCCTTAAGCACAGGAAGTAAACAACTCAAAGGCTTCAGGAAGTCACTGAAACTGACTAGATATACTAGATACCCCCTCCCTCCCCAATTACATATAAGCAGTAAGGGCTGACAAGAGACACTCTTAAAGCCCGGCAGTGGTGGCAAATGTCCTTAATCCCAGCACTCGGAAGGCAGAGGTAGGCGGATCTCTGTGAGTTCGAGGCCAGCCTGGTCTACAGAGTGAGTTCCAGGACAGCCAGAGCTACACAGGGAAACCCTGTCTCAAAGAGAGAGACAGACAGAAAAAGAGACAGAGATTCAAGAGAACACTGTGCTTGAAAGAAATGCTCTCCAACCTGACAAGCTGCCTGTCACTTGTGCAGTGAGCTTCCAGTTTCCAGCTTTCATGAGCCATTATCACACAGGCTGGGGCGAGCTTTTGTGGTGTAGCTGTCGTGAAGTCATTTCGGCTCTTGGAAGTAACCCAAGTGAAATGAATTGGTTCACCAAGCTTTGGTGATACCCTTACTTCTGGTCTATGGTTGGTTCCCTAACTGAGGTGAGTCAACATTTGTTCACATCTCCACACAGTAGTGTCACACCAACACACACGCACAAAAGAAAATAAACCTTCAAAATGACTTCAGGCAAACTCCTAAACACATGCAATGTATCAATAATTAAGTCAAGGAGATGTAGATAAATTAAACAAATGGTAAGTAATGAAATTGAAACAGTAATCAAAAGTCTCCCACAAAAAAAAGCCAGGACTGTATGGATCCATGGCAAATTCTACCAAATTTTTAAGAAGACCTAACACCAATATTCCTCAGGCTGTTCCACAAAATAAAAAGGGAAAGAACATTACTGAAGTCCTACAATGCAAGACTTACCCTGATAACAAAACCATATGAGGGTACAGAAAAGAAAGAAAACTGTAGATTATCTTTCTTGATGAATATAGATGCAAAATTTCTCAATATTCTGATGAACCTAATGCAAGAATGTAGTAGTTCACACATCACAATCAAGCTGGTTTCATTCCAGAAGTACAAGTTTGATTCAACATATACAAATTAGTAAGTGCAATATACTATACAAATCATCTTAAAGACATACATAGCATGATCATCTCAACAGATGCAGAAAAGGAATTAGACAGAGTTCTATACATTCATGATAACAAGTCCGGAAGCAACTAAGAATAGAAGTACTAAATCTTAATACAATAACTGCCATTTATGGCAAGCCTACAGCCAACAAACTAAATGAGGAAAAAACTTAAAACCTTTCCTCAAAATCACACCATGAGACAAGAGTGACCACTTTCTCTCCTCTTATTCAAAATAGTATTCAAAGTCTTAACTAGAGCAGTAGAACCAGAGAAGGAAATAAAAGGCATGTACATCAGAAGGGAAGAAGTAAACCTATCTCATTTTTGGATGGATCATGTCATCCAAAAATGAGATAGGTTTACTTATGGAGCCTTGTGGATTCCACTAAGAAACCTTTACATCTGACACTTTCAGCAAAGTAGCAGGATAGAAAATCAGCATAGATGAAAACAGTAGATTGTTCATATATCAATAACAAACTATCCCAGAAAGAAATTAGGAAAAAAAAACTCACCTTCATAATAGTTTTTAAAAATATCTAGAAGTAAGTCGTATTGATGAGGTCAAAGACCTTTATTCTACAATGAAAACTTTAAGACATTCAAGAAAGAAATTGAAGAAAATAGAAAACAGAAAGCCTACCCATGAGCATGGATTAACAGAATTAATATTGTGAAAATGGCGGTATTACCGAAAACAACCTACAAAGTCAATGCAATCTCCATCAAAATTTTAATGGCATTCTTTGCAAAACTATAAGAAAACAATTCTAACCTTAATATGAAATCACAAAAGACTCTGAATAGCTAAAGCAATCCTAAGCAAAAAGAACAATTCTGGAAGAATATATTATATAATACCTGACCTCAAATTACTCTACAGAGCCATAGTGACAAAACAGTAGGTATTAGATCAGTGAAATAGAAGACCCAAAATTAATCCACATGGCTATAACCACCTGATCTTTGACACATATAAAAACATACATTGGAAAAAAAAGGTAGCCTCTTCAACAAATGGTGCTGAGAAAAATGGATTTCCACATCCATGAATAAAATTAACCTCCTTTTTTTCACCCCCCACAAAAATCAATGTCAAATGGCTCAAAGATATTAATATAAAGCTTGAAATGTTTTTGCCCCTGGAAGAAAACTGGGAACCACTTCAAGAGATAGGTATGAGCAAAAACTTGCTGAAAAAAAAATTCCAACAGCACAGGTAATTGACAGGTTGAGGAGCTGCTACACAGCTAGGAAAACTAAACGCAGAATGAAGAAAGGGACTACAGAATGGGAGAGGATCTTTGCCAACTACACCTTGCTGTGAAGAGACACCATGACCAAGGCAACTTACAGAAGAGAGCATTTAACTGGGGACTCGCTCATAGTTTCAGAGGTTCAGTCCATGATCATCATGGCAGGGAGCATGGCAGCAGGCAGGCAGACATGGTGCTGGAGCAGCAGCTGAAAGCTACATCCTGATCCACAAGCACAAGGCAGAGAGACAGACAGACAGACAGACAGACAGACAGACAGACAGGCTAGATCTGGCCTGGGCTTTTGAAGCCTCAAAGTCCAACCCCACTGACACACTCCCTCCAACCAGGCAACAAACACCTCCTAATCCTTCCTAAACAGTCCCCAACTGGGAACCAAGTCTTCAAATGTTTAACCCTACTAGGGTCACTCTTATCCAAAGCAACACAAAGCGCATGCGTACATGTGTGTGCCGGTATGTGCACCCATTTGCATGCATATAGAAGTTAGAGGAGGATGTCAGGTGCCCCATCCCATGGCTCTCTGTCTTGTTCCTTTAAGAGAGAGTCTCTCACTGAACATGGGGCATGGCTGCAGCAATCCTAGATACCTTCCGATCTAGCCCTCCCACAGCTCTGGGGCTACAGGCACTGGCATGGCCACACCTAGCTTTTTATGTGGGGGCTGGGGATTGAAATTCAGAGATCTTGTGCTTGCAGAGCAAGCAATCTGACCACATTTTCCCAACCCCCAAAGTATTATCTTACACAAAGCATCTCAGACTCAGAAGAAATATTGCATATTTTCTCTCAAAGATGGAACAAAGATTTAAAATTTCATATAGGTATTCATGTAAGGGTACAGATCATAAAACCATGAAAGGGAAATAAGAGTTGTTAAGGGAGAGTGAATTGGGGAAGAGGCCTTCTCCCGGTCCTTTGTTCCGGTCCCTCTCTGCCGCAGCTAGCTAGCCCCTTCTGTTTTCTTGTCAAGTGGAGTCTAGTCCGTTGCTCTCTGGGAAATGCAGAAAAGGAATTAGACAGAGTTCATATACATTCATGATAACAAGTCCGGAAGCAACTAAGAATAGAAGTACTAAATCTTAATACAATAACTGCCATTTATGGCAAGCCTACAGCCAACAAACTAAATGAGGAAAAAACTTAAAACCTTTCCTCAAAATCACACCATGAGACAAGAGTGACCACTTTCTCTCCTCTTATTCAAAATAGTATTCAAAGTCTTAACTAGAGCAGTAGAACCAGAGAAGGAAATAAAAGGCATGTACATCAGAAGGGAAGAAGTGAACCTATCTCATTTTTGGATGACATGATCATGTATTATGGAGCCTTGTATATTCCACTAAGAAACCTTTACATCTGACACTTTCAGCAAAATGGCAGGATAAAAAACAACACAGAGAAACCCCGTCTCAAAACCAAAACAAACAAACAAAAAAAACAAAAAAAGAGGGCTGCCGGGCAGTGGTGGTGCACTCCTTTAATCCCAGCACTTGGGAGGCAGAGGCAGGTGGATCTCTGTGAGTTCGAGGCCAGCCTGGTCTACAAAGCAAGATCCAGGACAGGCACCAAAACTACACAGAGAAACTCTGTCTCGAAAAACCAAAAAGAAAAAAAAAAAAGAAAGAAAAAGAAAAAAGAAAAGAAAAATTTAAGGACTCCTAACAACAAGAGAACTTAACACCAAATACCCCTCCAACTGGAGTCTTTATAGCTCAGATTTGGGACTCCTGAGAGATGGCGTCCTCACAACTCCTGCCTCATCCTCCCAAGGCTTAGAGCTACCATGCTTGACTTCCTGTTCTCTGTGGAAAATACACTTTTGGTGGAAGGGAGACGCTCCAGGTGATCAAACACATTCACTGGCTACCTAAAGGAGAGCAGCCATGTGACATGGCATGCATGTGACTAAGTAACTGCAGGCTCAACAAGCACACCACTGGGTGAGGCTGACAGGATGGCGTCCATTTTCCCACGCCCTGGAGCACAGTGAGAAAAGAGCTGGCATTGGCCCACAATGCTGTGATAGCCAATGGCAGAGAGGCGCAAGTCTGGGTGATCACAGAATCAGAAACTGGGGACAGAAAGCCTTTATAGAAGAAGGTATGGTTCTAGCTGCGTACCAAGACAACAAGAGATCTTAACACCAAAGACTCCTCCAACTGGAGACTTTAAAGCTCAGATTCGGGATTCCTGAGAGATGGCGTCCTCACAACTCTTATAAACACCAGCTGAACTGAACCACCTTGGCCAAATTGCTCTTTTACCGCTAAAGAAACACAAGCCACGCTGTCTTATCATGCATTGAAAACACATAGGGAAAGGGGGCAGCGAGTGACAGCAGTGTTGGTATCACAGCCCAAAGCAGAACTCTGGGCTCCTCACATTGCAGCCTTTCTATGCTGGATTCAAAGGGCGAGTCTATGTGAGACATGGCAGTAGAATAACCCTGGTTAACTCCAAAGTGTCTAAGAAATCAAAGTGAGTGGGGATTCGGTCATGGTTCTCATGTAAAACACATTATAAAAAACCATGCAATACAAATTGGGCCCGGTGGCAATTCTGTAAAACAGAACTTCGGTAAGCATCAACATAGCCTCTAACTGCGGGGTGTGTATTATCTGCCTTGAATGCTTTTATGCCGTCACAGCTGCTTGTGGATCTGGGTTCCTAACTGACTTTTGCTACACACCTTGGGGTTGTGATGGATGAACTTTCAAGGCCTCAGAGCCCCGGTGCTGACAGTAGACTGTTCTATGCTTTCAAAGCATGTAAGATCAAAGCCCACGTCAATGGCACTATAGTTACGTTATCCTTCAGTCCATCTGGTGCTTTATAATCATGAAATGTAGCATGGCACTTTTACCTACTTCCACTTCCCAAACACGGCCACAGTGACACACTGTTGTACCACCATGTTTAAGAAGCACTGCTCTAAACCATGAACTTTCCAACTGGGCCACCATACATCAAGTTATTAAAGCTGAAACACATGTAGTTGAAGACAGCTTGAAGACCTCACTCCACTGACTATCCAAACACGTTTTCTCCAATACAATCCTTTATGTTTCCCTCCAGTTTATACATGAAGGCCTTTCCTCCCTGCCCTACCCCCAGGAGAAAAAAATTAAAGAAGCTAAAAGGATTGCATTACAAGTTAAATGGATCTTCTTTGCAAAGGTCAATTTTCAGGTTGAATTTGTTACAAGCAGACATGGACTCAGTTCTTCTGCATTGACATTCTGATGTAACAAAATTCCTTCTTGGGTTTGACTCCAGTGTTAAAAGGGAAACACAATAAAATAAAAAAAAACAAACAAACAAGCTGGGTGGTGGTGGCCCACGTCTTTAACCTGGATCTCTGTGAGTTCGAGGCCAGCCTGGTCTACAGAGTGAGATCCAGGACAGGCTCCAAAAACAACACAGAGAAACCCTGTCTCAAAAACAAACAAACAAACAAACAACAACAAAAAACCAAAAAAAAAAACCCAAAAAACATTTCTTACTTTTTGGCTAAGATCAAAAATGTAGAAGTAGAAAATCATCTACTAGAATTTTATAGCTTCATTGAACTTTTCTGAATTTTTGACATCTAGGAAATAAGCATTGTATAACTGTTACAATCAGGTAAAAAGAATGAACATTTACAAAGGAAGAAAAAAAAGATCTAGGGCTGAGGACATGGGTCCAAAGGTAAAGTGCTTTCTGGGAAATAAGAAGGACCTGAATTCAGACCCCCGGCATCCAGGAAATGTGGGTGAAGGGGAGTCCTAGGGTTCTCTGGCTGGTCACCCTAACTGAACGGATGAACTCCAGGTGCAGGGAGAAATCCTGTCTCAAAAAGGAAGGTGGAGAGTGGTAGAGGAAGGCATCTTGACCTCCACCTGCAGCCTGCACAGGCGAGCACACGTGTGTGTGTGTGTGTGTGTGTGTGTGTGTGTGTGTGTGTGTGCACACACACACACACACACACACCACACACACACACACACACACACACACACACACACACACACACACACTGACCCACAGGACACACTCGGTCTTGTCTTACCCGCTGGCCCCCATCATGGCTATGGTCCATTACTGTATTTATACCACCCAACTCACGTTTTTTGTTTGATTCACCTCATTTCTTCCCTTCCCCACAACTTCATTGTTGTAGACCATAAGGCAGCCAACAGGAACTTCAGTGTTTTCAAGGGCTTCTTTGGCCTGCAACACAAAGCGGAAAGTCTCAGAGGCGAGGCTCAGTGCTTGAAAGGCTCTGCAAAAGGACAGATGAGAGCCGGGCAGCAGTGGCACACGCCTTTAATCCCAGCACTCGAGAGGCAGAGGCAGGTGGATCTCTGTGAGTTCGAGGCCAGCCTGGTCTACAGAGTGAGATCCAGGAAAGGCACAAAACTACACAGAGAAGCCCTGCCTCAAAAATCAAAAAACAAAAACAAAAACAGATGAAATGAGAACAGATGTGTGGATAATGGCCAAGACAAACACAGCTGCACTTTCCCCTTCTGAAATCTGGTGTCTTTGTGCTATGCAGTGCTGTATTCTCTGCTGGGTGTCTATGATGAGAAGGACTCAGAATGTCTCCCTTCACAGGTCCTGAGCCTCTTTCTCTCACTGGAAGCACATGTAATAAATGGCATTTGACCAGTGTTCTTAAAAAGCCAAAGCCACCCCTTTTCAGAGATGCTATGCATATTTACAAAGAGCTGGGAGGATACATAAATAGGTAAATATTTTGTTACAATACTTTCCCTTGATAAACTTCTACTTGAATTTTTTTTTTCTTCTCTAAGAAGATAGAAATGATTCCATGAGCCAGGTGGTGGTGGTGCACGCCTTTAATCCCAGCACTCGGTAGGTAGAGCCAGACGGATCTCTGTGTGTTCGAGGCCAGCCTGGGCTACAGAGTGAGTTCCAGGAAAGGCTCCAAAGCTGCACAGAGAAACCCTGTCACAAAAAAAAAAGAAAGAAAAAAGAAAAGAAAAGAAAGAAATGATCGCATGGAGTATCAATACCATAAAAAATGATCAGACTGGATGTCACTACATCTCACAACTTCTAAGAGATACATGTAAGTTTAGGGATATTTTATGTAAAAACGGCACAAACTTGGAAAATATTTTGTAAGTTTCTTTTAAAAACAAATATGCATAAAAATCTATGATCTACATTGCACAGAAACGCACACACAAAGACATACACGGTGAGCTGACGAAACTTTAAGAAGCTCTTCATGGGGCTGGAGAGATGGCTCAGTGGTTAAGAGCACTGGTTGCTCTTCCGGAGGACCTGGGTTCAATTCCCGGTGCGCACATGGCAGCTCACACCTCTCCATAACTTCAGTTCCAGAGCTTGACACCCTCACACAGACACACATGCAGGCAAAACCCCAGTGAATAGAAAATAAAATAAAAAAGAAGCTCTTCAGAGTATACCAATGAGATTTCCCTGGCTCTGACAGTGTACTACAGTTGGGTAGCTGAAGAAAACTGCATGAATGGATCCTCTCTCTCTCCGTACACTTTTACTGTGTGCAGGTTCCTGAGGTTGATAATTCTTTCAAAGGGAAAAGTTAGTAACTAAAGTAAATAAGGATCTAGCAAGCCCGCCGAGGGAGAGAGTAAGGCAGGACTGTTGACTGGTATAAAAGAGCATAGAAAAATACAGACCAAGCAGGAAAGGGGATGGATATCCACTGGGCCAGATCAGTGACAGAAGTCATTTAGGTGGAATGGTGGGAAAGAAAAGTATTGTCTTGAAAAATGACTTCCTGTGGGTTGGATTTTCAGCTTTCAACTGAACATCTCCCAGTAGACCTCTGGGGGGGGGGGGGTGTGACACTACATCTACATCTCAAGCATTCTTATCCTGAGGGGTTGAAAATATGCGTAGGTAAGATATTCTTTCGTTTTTTAAGTGTGGCTTGGTCTGGGACTATTTAAGCACTTTGTAACTACAAATTCATTTTGTTTATAATCCTAACGTGAAAGGGACACTAATCTCCATTGTACAGATGAGGAGACTGATGCACGGGGAAGCCATATTGACCACGTGAGAGATTTGTAGCAAAAGTCTAGGAAGTTTGCCTTTCCTCATTACTCACTTCACCAATTATCGGTGCAACTATTAATGAGTATCAGGTACTGTGTCCTCTGCATCCTTCTCCCTCTGGTCTCTCTTTAGTCACCAGTGACTTCGCTCCTCAGACACTTCATCCGGTGTTGGGTTTAGAGTGGGTCAAGGGACAAAAGGAGAAGGAGGAGTTAAGAGGGAGAGACATGGAGAGTTTGAGACGAAAACCAGAAGGCACGTGACAAGGCTTTCTGTAAGCCTATTTCCTGAAGAACTCGGGGTGACACGAGCAGCTTCAAACACACAGAACAGAATCAAAGACTGGACCAGTAATATGGTTCAGCAGGGGAAAGTCTTGCTATGAAAGCCTGATGACCTGAGTTCGATCCCCGGATCCCACAATGGAAGGAGAAAAATCCCTGTCCTCTCAAAAGCTGTCCTCTCATCTTTATATATATGTGTGTACCCTGCGTGCATGTGCAAGCACACACACATGTGGTGGTATTGTGTTCCCCAAAATATTGTGTACCTTAATAAACTTATCTGGGGTCAGAGAACAGACAGCCACTAGATACAAAGGCTAGAAAATGGTGGCACTCACACCTTTAATCCTAGCATTCCAGAGATAGAAATCCCTCTGAATCTCTGTGAGTTCAAGGCCACATTGGAAATAGCCAAGCATGGTGACACGCCTTTAATACCAGAAAGCCAGCCTTTAATCCCAGGGAGTGGTGGTAGAAAGCAGAAAGATATATAAGGTGTGAGGACCAGAAACTAGAAGATTTTGGCTGGTTAAGATTTTGGCTGGTTAAGCATTCAGGCTTCTAGCAGCAGTTCAGCTGAGAGCCATTGGGATGAGGACATAGAAGCTTCCAGTCTGAGGAAACAAGACTGAGGATCCGGCGAGGTGAGATAGCTGTGGCTTGTTCTGTCTCTCTGATCTACCAGCATGGACTCCAATAACTCGCCTCGGGTTTAAAGAACTTTTAAGATTTATGCTATACACACACACACACACACACACACACACACACACACACACACACAAATTATTTTTTACACTCCCCAACCGAGTAGGAAGCACCTAGGTAGAAGGGAAAGAGATAGGGTGTACCAAGAGCCCTGTCCACTGTGCACCTGATATGGTACAAAGCACGGCTGTCCTGCCAGCCTTTCTCTGCTCCCAGGTCAACAGACGACTGTGTGTCTTCGTACCTGGCTCCTTTGGCTCCTCTCTTTTCCTTCAAGTAAATTTATCTCACTAGAAATGATAAGACTACCTTAAACAAACAAACAACATTACTGATAAGGAATGGCCTTGTAGAGTGAGTGTAATAGCAGTCCAGAGAAAGGGAGGTGAGAAGAATACAAAGTCTGTGGGAGTCGATTTAGAGGCACCGTTTCCCAATACATATACATCAAAATGTGCAGACATTTCCTCTCCTGACAAGTTCAAAACGTGTATGAAAGCGGGAAATCCACGTCGCCCCATCCTATCTCAGACTTTCCGATGCCCCTCCCGCCTCTGAAAGCCAGTCCCTTCCTTCTGTCACCAGGGCAAAAGAGTTCAAGCGAAACAGACCTAATGGTGTGGATGGCTTTGAACTTGAGAAGCGGGCCTTCTCTGGAAGAGGCCAAAGCTCTGCCACCAAAATGGCGACTTGGTCTTCCACAAACTAGCAAATTCTCAACTTCAAAACGGAAGAACGAAGGCTCTTTTCTTCCCACCCCAGGCTCTGAGAAAGACGACAAGCCAAAATAAAAAAGTGTTAATAACAATAAAAAGGAGGACACATTATTCCATTTATGACCAAATGTGTTTCTGTTTTCACAAGGACAGAAATATAGGAAGGATGCTCACAAAATGTCAGCAATGCTACCTCTGAGGTCAGGGTTTTAGGTCATTTTTACATAATTTGTTAAATGTTCTAGACTTTAGTTTCTTATGAATGTGAACTTTTGTAAGCATTAGAATAAAAAGTTGAAACTTTTGTAAAAGAATAAGCAAAAAGAACATTCCTACATCAATGGCTGAACTCAGTGTGAAGGCCTTTTTAAGGATGTAAATAAATTGTTATGTAGATGGTTATACCACCTAGATTCCTGTTAAGTACATTCCATAATGTTCACAGGGTGAAAACCTAGCATCAGAAAGAGTAGAGATGTGTGTATGTGTGTGTGTATACACACACACACACACACACACACACAAACTTCTATCCCTGGTACACATCAGTATGGATAAAGCACACATCAGTATGGATAAAGCTTGGAACAACATGTAAATACCACCAGAGCCCTCCATAATCAGCAATCCCTACAGGGAATGAAGAAAGAGCAAGAGAATGATAGGAGAGGATTGTACTGGTACATGTTTTCATATGACTCTCTACCAGAAACATCTTCAGCCCACAAGGACACATGGTCAACTATGTTCATAGCAGCATTATTTGTAATAGCCACAACCTAGATGCATGTCAACTGAAGAATGGATTAAGAAAATGTGGTACATATACACAATGGAGTACTACTCAGCAGAGAAAAATAATGACATCATGAAATTTGCAGGCAAATGGATGGAACTAGAAAATATCATCCTGAGTGAGGTAACCGAGACTCAGAAGGACAAACATGGTATGTACTCACTCATAAGTGGATACTAGTTATAAAGCAAAGAACAATCAGACTGCAACCCACAGATCCAGGGAGGCTACCTAGCAGGGGGAACCCTAGAATGACTGAGGCTTATAATAAGTTTTGGTTTTACCCAATCACTGGGCAAGCTTTAATGAAACATTTCACTATTAGGATAAGAATGTGTACTGTATCAAGCTGATGGAAAAAAATGCTGGCTGTACTTTCAGAAGGGGAGGCTAAAATCTTTTTAGACTATGGATTAGCCTATAGAAAAATGTCTGCCGTAAATCAAACAGCGAAGGGGAAGATGATTAGGAATCTCACTTACACAACTTAAGTAAAACATAGCTCTCTAAACAGATGAAGATAGGTCTCTTCTGTATCCCAGAACCTAGTCAATATTTATATGTATAATTCAGCTATCATTTGGCTTTTAAAAAGCTTATTGGGAAATGTTATCATTTATACTATTTTCTACAGAGAACATATTTTACTGTTTAAAATAACCCTGGACTTTTAAATTATAACCTGTTTTTATGTTCAGGCTATCTGAGTATTATTTCTCCTGCAGTTGTACATAAAATGTTTTTACATTCAAAAAAAGGGGCAAATACTATAGAATTGTATTACATGAAATATATAGAATATACAAATTCATACAGACAGAAAGATTAGACATTATCTCAAGACAGAGAAGAAGGGAAATATAGGGCAATGATTTCCCAAGTACAGAATCTCTGTTTTGTGTGATGGAAAACCCCCACAAATGAACAGTAAGTAGTATCATGACATAATATCATGAATGTAATAAATCAATACAATTAATGTAATTAATGAATATCATAAATATAATCATAAATTAATACTGTTAATGTAATCAATGAATATCACAAATGTAACTAATATCATGAGTGTAATTAATGAATATGAGTGTAATTAAAAAATAAAAATATATCTAAAGAAAAAAAAAGAAACATCTTCAGCTTCCTTCCATAATATATGTTCAAGGGTGTCAGAGCAAACCACAAAATCATGTGGCTATGTGGCTTTGAAAGCATGTGTCTATGGAAAGGAAGGTAGTAGGCAGGTAGGGCTACATGTGATAGATACATGCTGCACACCAGTTTCTGTATTTTCCCTCCACTCAAATTACTGTGGACAAAGTTCAAGAAAACGTCCCGAGAATAATACAAGCTATTGATTTAGATATTATGAGAGCTGATAGATAATGGTGATGAGAAAGCGCGCCAGACACATGGACTCAACTACAGGGTGTCACGATGTGGCCGGGAGAAAGTTTGCACTTTCACCGTCCACCTGCCGGGTTTCTCACCATTCGCATGGCCTCCTCCATCCACTTTTCGATCTCCTGTGCCGACACCACGCGCGAGCCGTCCGGGGCGGCGGCGGAGTCCACCTTCTCCTCCATCCCCGCCCTCACTCAGAGAACCAGGCCAGGGGAGCCGGAGGAGAGAGGGCAGCGGAACGCGGCGGGTGCGGGCCCTTGCTTCCGGGAAGACCGAAAAAGGCGAGGCACCCGGGAGCTATTTGCGGACGTACCCAGGCGTCCCGGACCAGTAAGCGGCGACCCGAGGATCAAAAGCGCTGCTGCTGCTGCGTGGAGTCCACGCCCCCTTCCTCCGCTCCGCCGACAGCCTCTGCGCAGAGGAGCGGAGTCTGTGGTTGCTGGAGAGCACCTAGCACCGCCAACCGGGCTTCTGCTTCTACCGGAGATCCGGCCCAGGGGGACGAAGACACGGTTTCCTGGTGAGCCAGCCCCCTCTCCCCTAGGCAACCCCATACCCCGAGGGTCTGAAGATGCTGAGATCAATGTGGAATTTTCTGAAACGTCACAAAAAGAAATGCATCTTCCTGGGCACAGTTCTTGGAGGTGAGTGACAACGTGCTTTGGAAGGGGACGTTGGCAGAAGGGAGTGACAGGGGTGACTTCTAAAGCCGGCAGGGCCCACTGATCCTAGTACGGGATATGTAGAGGGGATTGGCTCAACCGTCAGAGGAGAACCTCTGAGGTTCTTTTTATCTCCCCTCTCTGTGCCCTTTGCCCCTCATTCTGCTCCCCCCCCCCCCCCCCCCCCCCCCCCCCCCCCCCCCCTCCTTTCCCCCACGGCCTTCGGGAATCTACTCTAATGAAGTTTCTTTTCAAAGCACTGTTCTTTTTTGGTTTTCCGAGACAGGGTTTCTCTGTGTAGCTTTGGAGCCTGTCCTGGAACTCACTCTGTAGCCCAGGCTGGCCTTGAACTCACAGAGATCCACCTGCTTCTGCCTCCCGAGTGCTGGGATTAAAGGTGTGCGCCACCAACGCCCGGCTCAAAGCACTGTTCTTATATAGATACATTTGCCTTCCAATTCTCTTCTGTTGCTTTCCTGTTAAATTTCTTCATTCTTTTTGGCAGCTCCAGTACTCTGGCTTTCAACCTTTCACAGGAGTTTCGAAATATTGTAGGGCAGTTAGCTTAAGTCTGCACTTTGGGTTAGTGTTTAAAGTTAACTAGAATACAGCTCTAACATGTTGATGTTGCTGTAAGATACACTAGATAAATGGGGGGGTATGTATTTTCATCTCTCCAATTTTAAAATACAAATTATGCATCAACAAAATGCTCAGGATTGGATATTCTTTAGTGTTGTTAAGGCTGTCAAGATCGTGATCGTTTCACATTTTGCTGACATAGTTGAGTTCACTGGCTGCAAGTTAGAAAGAAACACATGGGGGAAAAATCTCGATGGGGACTTGTAGCTTTGTGGTGCGGTGCTTGCTTAAGCTGACAGTTTTGTATCACAAGCAACACACACACACACACACACACACACACACACCACTTTAAACCCTTTGTCTTTGTAAAACACTCAGTTCATAACTCTGGGATTTTAAGAAGGGAATAGAAAATCTTTTGGATTATACTAAAAGGAAACCTGGGAACTTTAAAAGAGTTTTAAAAACTTAAATCTTAAGAAATACCATCACTATCCTCTTATCCTAAAATAGTAGGTCACTGATAAGTCAATACCCATGTTCTGTGTATCTCTGAGGTGTAGCACAGTTGGATACTGACTGATAATCACCTTTGAGAAATACTTTATAGATACAATGTGTTTTCTGTTACCTTCAGCCTCTAATATCTAAGGTGTATTTAAATTTTTTATTTTATTGTGCCAATACTATAGAGTACATGTGTGAAAAATAAATATGTATGTGTCATGGAAGACATAAAAATTTTTTGCTCTGCCAAAAGAAAGAAAATTCTCTCTCATAATTTCAGAGGGGAGCACCTACCCCCTTAAGGTTTATGGAACACCTAATGGCAGATCAGAAATAATCACAGGACAAATTAAAGAGTATGTGGATATAGTAACAGATTTTCTTTTGGAACTCTATTGAGAGCTTTATAATTGCAGATTAAGAGGAAGTAAAAGGCTGGGTATGGTGGCGCATGCTTTTAATCCCAGCACTTGGAGGCAGAGGCAGGCAGATTTCCTGAGTTGGAGGCCTGGTCTACATAGTGAGTTCCAGAACAGCCAGAGCTTCGTGAAACCCTGTCTCAAAAATAAAATAAAATAAAAAGAGGAAGGAAAAAAGATTCAGAGACATAAGAGAAACACTGCAGTTTTCTAGCAAAATAGAAAGTCTTAAAATAGTTCAACATATCTAGTTTTGATTTATAAAGAGTTCATATTTTTTCTGTATCATGAGGAACTTCCTGTCTTACATTTCAGTTTAAGAAATATTTACTAGTATTTAAATACTAGTAATTGGTGGTGGTGCACTCTTTTAATCCCAGCACTCAGGAGGCAGAGGCAGGCGGATGTCTGTGAGTTCAAGGCTAGCCTGATCTACAGAGTGAGTTCCAGGACAGGCTCCAAGACTTAACACAGAAACCCTATCTCAAAAATAAATAAATAAATAAATAAAAAGAAAGAAAGAAATATTTGCTAATGGATTGTACTGCTGGAGGTAGTATAATTGAATAGGTACAATTTACAAATTTTTAATCATTAATATTTATTAGGAACCCAGTGTGTGTTGAACATTCTGCTAAGCTCTTCCCAGCCAATGGAAACAACAGCGGGAGAGTTACGGTTTTTGCCATTTTTTAAAAATGTAGAAACTAGAGCCCATAGAGTTAAGAAGCTTGCCAAGAGTTTGAGTAACCAACAAGGAAATAAGAATTCAACCCCCCAGTGTGTTAGATCCCAATGAATATTATTCTATACTCTACCACTCTGCCTTGGTGGATTCTTCGATCTTTTAAGAAATAAGTGAAAATACTATTAAAAGACCAGGATAGAGATGAATACAGAACATGTTAATGAGCCTATTGATACATAGCAGTATGGAGTTAGTATAAAATGATGAAGGATTTCACAACAGGAGTGGCATATTTTGACAGACTTGAAAGCTGGGTAAGGTGTTATTATGCATGAACAAAGGTGTTCACATATTGAGTGCTGGAAAAATACAGGCAAGCAGAACTTTGAGCAGTGTGGCTTCAAAAGTCAAAATTTCAACAACAACAACAACAAAAGTCAAAATTTCGCTGGTCGGCAGTGGTGCACACCTTTAATCCCAGCAACTCTAGAGGCAGAGGCAGGCTGATCTCTGTGAGTTTGAGGCCAGCCAGGTCTACAGAGCAAGATCCAGGACAGACATCAGAACTACACAGAGAAACCCTGTCTCGAAAAACAAAGCAAAAGTCAGAATTTCTATTTCCCGCATTTTGGATAGTAATTGCCTCATGCCCATTTATGCAGTTTGACCATTTGAGGCAGGACAAGAGCAGTGGGTCTCAAACTGTCTGATGGGAAATCTCCTTGACACTCTTAGAAATTAAGACCCCCCCCCCAAGCCACCTAAGTTCTGTATCTATTAACAGTTATCATATTTGAAGTTAAAACCCAGAGGTTTTTAAAGTATTTATTAGTCATTTCTGATAACAATAATAAACCTATTAAATATTAGCATAAAACATTTTCGGGGATTAGTGAGAAGAATGGCATTATTTTACAATTGCAAAGCTCTTTAGTTTGGCTTAACTGAAGACAGCTAAATTCTCATCCCTTCTGTAGTCAGTCATGTGTGAAACCACTCGTTAACTAGCCTCTAAAATTCTCCCCTGTACACTCAGGAAAGAGTGTAGCATGCCAGTGACAACATTTTAGTATGACAAAAATATTGTGGCCCTCACAGATCCCCAAACAGACTCCAGGGATACCCAACCCACATTTTGGAAACCATTGCACACAAGAAAAAGTGTTACAGAGCAAAGGAGCCAGATACATACTGATTGTCTTGCTAATTTTTTTTTTTTTAAAAAAGCACAAAACACTGAGTTGTATCTTAAGCCTTGTAATTTTAACCTCTTTGGATTTTTCTTTTTTCTTTTTTTTTGTCATTTATTTACTCAACATTTGAATATGAAAAATGCTTACTCTAACTATACTGGGCTCTGAATATACAAGGACTTCACTATGAATGAAAACCATCTTAAAGTGCTTCAGAAAAACAGACTCCTGCCCCCCAGACTCTAGTTCTTCAGATGTAGTACAACTCAAGGATGCTTCATATTGGTTGGAGACATCCCCAAGTGGTACAGCACTGGCCTACCATGAATAAGGTCATTACTGAGCACTGGGGGAAAAACTGAAACTGAATCAAAGCATCAGAACTTGAGGAGATGCCAGATTAGAAGTCTTGGTGATTGATTATTGTCAGATTGTTATAGAAAATAATTGCACTGTAGGAATTTTTGTCCTAGAAGACAAGACTAAGAAGTGGTTTTAAAATGAGTGATGTATACAAAAACTAGAAGATATCCTGCTTTACTCGCCGTGAAAGGAAATGTCAAAACATTTGCACTTATTTTTTGGTATTTAGTGGATATTTTCATTGCTAATAAAGAAGGTTATGGTTACAGAGGAAATTTGAAACTACTTGGTTTTACACATGAAGAAGATGTATGCCCAGAGGGAGTAAGTCACCTGCTCCAGGTCACCTCACCTGTTGTCTGTTTTCTAGCTGAGTCAGGGTGCCTGTGAAGTAGATACAGCCCTGAGTATTATATCTTAACTAATGGTATTTTTTTCTTTCATTAATATTTCCTAGAGAAACAAATCTGAAAAAGTTGATTTATGAATTTTATATGTGGGATCCTAAGTGAGGTAGACCTTGAATAGGAATATCAGTGCTAGCTAAAGAAAAACGGTGGGTCTAGAGCTTAAGCCTAATTTCATGTGTGACTTTTCTAGGGCTTCCAAAATGAAGACCTACAAAGTGAGTACCTTGAGAAACTGAAATGTATGTTACAGTTTTGAAAGTTTATAGTCCGTGATCAGGATGTCGGCCGAGTGTGTTCCTTTCGTCAGGTGAAGGGGTCTGTCTGCACTAGGCTCTGCCCCATGAAGGCCCTCTTGTTTCCACTGCCTTCTACAGTAGAAGTCTGGCTGCCGGAAAGCCACAGAGCGTCTCTAGGAACCTTCCAGTTGTCTTCTCTCTGCGCATATCTATATCTA